GAATCACTAAACTCTATTACTATCTCTATCTCACAATCGCGATAAAACACTTCAAAACAATGAAATAATTTCTTTTTTCAATTTTTAATTTTATTCTCGAAACAACGTTGTTTTGAGATTGAACCCAATTTGTTTTAAATTTTTTGATCCCCTTAAAATGACTTCATTTCATAACACTGTGACAACGTGACAGCAGATGTGGCACGAGACTCATTTCCGTTAAAAGCATATACCTATTGATTAACAGAATAATAGTCAATATTAGAATCGGCAAAAAATGAAATAATTTATATATGAATTTTTACATAATTATAAGTTTGGGTATAAATTTGGACACTTCAAATTGGCAAGCATGAATCTCCACCATTTAGGAGAGTTTTGGCAGGTATTGACTGTTTTCTCCTTCACATTGTCTATGTTAGAGTTTGTGCTTTAAATAGCCCAAATCGGTAAGTTCATGCTTTTTATGATAGTTTTCCCTTTTTTAATTATGTTTGTTCCCAATTAGCAACATTATTGTTTATTTAAAGATAAGATAAACCCTTATTTACAAATTTTAAACGTTGTATTTCCAGCTACAACAATTCTTATATTTAGAAGAACCAAAGAGTAACTAATTGGTGTCTGATAGTAATAAGGTAGCAATGACTATAAAATCATTTTCCATTAAATCCATATTAACCCTTCACAAATCAAAATTATATAAAATCACACGTTGTCAGCCTACACGATGCATATTTACTAAATTTGTCATCTTCAGGAAAATAAATCTTTACTGTTTTTTTTTTTTTACCGAAGCTGAATCTGTGGTATTGCTTGAGATGGGTTTTCACCTTTTAAATAAAGCTTCTGATATGTTCTTGGATAGCATCAATGAAGAGTTGGAACCAGAAAGAGAGCCGCAAGGAGCTAAGGAGCTGAGGAGCAAAGACAAAGATCAAGGAATGGAACAAGAAGACTCTTTGCTCATTACAAAAGGTCCCATGACCCGAGCAAAGACTAAGAAGCTCAAGGAAGCTGTTGGAAAGATACTTAAGCAAGGAACGCTTATGGAACATAAGGGAAAAGAGATGGGTACAAGTACACTAGTTGTGATCCAAGTCCGAGAAAGTTAATGGGCTTGTGATCCAACTATGTACTCTTTTTCTCTATCTCAAGTTTTGTCCCAATGGGTTTTCTTGAGATAGATTTTTAATGAGGCATAGTTTGGATCACCTCACACCTAAGCCCATCAGCCGAGTCCAAGGAAAGAAGAAGAGGAGCGTGTGAAGAAGAGTTTGAATTCAAACTTGGCCAGCTTTCAAAGAACTAGTTCCTAGACACTTTGATGCTTTGTAGACTCGCCTGTTCTTCTCTTTATATTCTCTTGTAAACTCTCTTTTGAGACTATCTTATCTTTTAATCAAAATCTTTTCTAAGTAAGATCAAACCCTCTTGTTGGTGTGTAATATCCTTCAAGGCCTTTCAATTCATCTTTGGTGTGTAATATCCTCAGTTGATTCGAAACCCATTCATCAAGGGTCTTCCGCAACCCTTGGAGTCTTATCTAACCCCACAAACCTTGATACAACTCGTTTGTGTGCAAGGCTATCCCCTTTGTTCCAGTTTAGTGTGTGTCTATTTCAGGGAGAATCATATTAGCTTCTTTCTTTTATGATTTGTACTAAATGGCTTGTATGTCTAGCTTCTGGTAATGATTGTTGTGGTGGTATAAATCATTGGATGCTGCTATATATAATCTATAGAAATGATATCTAATTGTAGATCTTGAAGGAAAAACGGATATGGAGATTAGAGCTCTCGAGGTGAAGAGAAGATGACTAAGAGGGCTGACTTACAGGTCTGTTATTACATGTTTTGCTACTTGTTTCGTCTGGTAATTTATTAACAGCCAAATATTTTGTCTTGCTACCTACAGGCTGTGCTGCTGTTGGAAGCCTTCAACAAAGATAGGGCATCCTTGCTGCAGCTCATCCCAGCTCAGCCGCCAGCTGCAGCATTACCTCTGCCAGCTGTATCATCGTACATCGGAGATGTAGATCCAATTGAGACTTTGAACACAATCTCCCTGCTTGAAATTTGTTTGAATTTTGAAACTTTCTCTTGATGTTCAGTTTCTTGATCTCTATGTGTTATGTAAATGCTTGTTCAAGCTTTATTGTGATGAAATTGTTGATGTTATTCATAGCTCATCAAGCTAGATGTTCTCAAAGAGCCAAGAGGAAACTCTGTTTCATCGGTTTCATCGATTTCATCAGTTCCTCTAAGCGTGTAACCGATGTTCCTGTAATAAAAACAACTTTGTATAGTTTTCTTGTGATTAATGAGAAAATGTTGTTAGGATTATTTTTAGATTCTGGTTGTAAACAACAATAAAAAAGAGATTTTACAGAATTCACTGTTGTATTTTTTATCAAGGAGTTCTATTGCTTATTCTGAAATTATGTGTATAAGAAAGACAACCATCTTAACAACAATTATGAAGTATAATAGTTTTGTAGTAAATGCTAGGGTTGGAAGTTTTCCAAAGTTATAACCATCATTCAAAAGAACAATTTTTCTCTTTTGCCATTATACACCACAAAATACCATAATTTATCTTCCACAAACAATAAGTATTTGAATAATTATCTGTAATAAAACACACAAATAAACCATATTTTAAAACAAAATTACGAACCAAATTATCACAAACACATAAGAAACAAAAATTTTCAATCAAGGAGACTGCATCTGCAGACTTCATTTGTAGACTGCAGATGAAGTCTATTCTTCTAAGCTAACTAGCAAGTAAAACAACAAATTCGATTTTACAACAAATATGGACTTAAAACAAATAAAACTCATTGAGTAGTTAGACCAATTGGTAACACACATTTCAAAACCTAAAAATTAAAAAAAAATCGTTATATATATATATATACTGTAAATTCACATTTAAAATAATGATACCAAGCAAACTTCATATGCAGACTTCATCCGTAGACTGCTGGAGATGTCTATACTTTTACAAGCTAACTAGCTTATAAATCAAAAAAATTCGATTCCACAATAAATATTGATTTAAATCAAATGAAAATCATTGAGTAGTTCAACCACTTGCTAATACACATGTCCAAACCTAAAAATTAGAAAACAAATCTAAATTTTTTACAAAAGAGTTTTTAAAATAAATACAAAAAGTAGACTTCCTAATTAGACTTCATTAGTAGTCTGCAAGAAAAATCTACTTTTTCAAGTGGAAGTCTGCGAAAGAGGTCTTGTTAAAAAAGGTTATTTTTGCAATTGACCAAAACGTTATCTATATCATATTAGACTTCACCTGTAGACTTCCAATAGAAAATGTTAGTTTTGCATTCGATCAGGCCATTAACTTTTGGAATAGACTTCATGAGTAGACTTCTCTGACAGTCTACTAATAAAGTCCACTAGATTCATCAGAAGTCTACAGATTAAAATATGTTATTTTTGCAGTTTATTGTTCATAGTAGACTTCAATAGGAAGTCTACTACAAATAATGTTACTTTTGTGTTTGACTGGAAAATTGAAGTAGATTTCAGGAAGAAGTCTACATTAATTTTAGACTTTTTCCGGAAGTCTACTTCATTTTAAAACACAAAAATAACATCAATAATTTTGGTCAAATACAAAAATAACTTAAAATTAGTCTTCTAGAGCAAACTTCTAAAGAAACTTCAGAAGATAACAACTTTTTAAAAGTCAAATTAAGGTCAACTACACAAATAACCTTTTTTGTAGACTTCTTGCGACTTCAAACGAAGTCTACTAGGCTTTTTTTTCCAAAGGATAACGAGTAGACTTCTCCTGAAGTCTACTGGTTACAAATTTTTAAAAAGGCAATTGCAAAACTAACCTTATATTTACTAGTAGACTTCAACATGAAGTCTACTTTCACAATACAAATATAGATATTACTGAAAATGAAGTGTATCATTACCTATATCGGTTTTGAGTTCGTTTTTAGGTCTCTCATGCACTCAGAACTCTGAATTTCATTGAAAAGAAACAACCCATATCATGGTTATCTAAGAATCACCAAAACTGCATAACTTATGACATTGTTTATCAACCCAGCAATTTTGGAGATGAAATTAGAAAAGAATAAGAAAGATTATGAGTGTATGAGCTCTAATATGTAGTTACTACAGCTTTAAAAATTGGTTGAGAAACATTTAAATCTTGAAAGTGGTTGTTCATGGTTGTTGGAAGTATTGAAGAAGATGGCATTTTTGTAATAAAGAGGGGTTTAGGAGGTCTAAGGGACTTTGTGTAATAATTTTAAAAATCGAGATCAATGATATATAATGGTATTTTTTTAATTCTGGAGAGAGAGAATGATATAATTGTTAGAAAATGGCAAAAATAAGAAATATAAAAAAAGAGGTTAGTTTGGTATTTGACTTCTAAAATATGTTATTTTTGAAAGAAGCCCTATTATATAACTAAACTTTATAGATTAATTGACTGGCCATAGAAAATTTCGTGGGCCGTAATTGCAGGTTTTAAATAATAGTAAATTAGGCCAAAATTGTTTTAGGAAATTTTTTTTTAATCTATGAAAGAATGCATATATGTGAAAATAAAGTATGAGAGAATGTAATCATCATTATGTATATATGAAAAAAAAAAAATTTTAATCTACGAGAGAATATATATATATATATATATTTTAGATAATTCCATAAAACTTTCGGTTTCTGCTGAAATGATTTCATTACAAATTAACTAATTATTATAATTCAGCCTAAGAAAATAAAAATGATTCTATACGGACCAACTTATTTTCTAAAATTCAGCTAAAAAAAATAAGCACTATAGTATCATAAATTTTATAATAATAACTGTTTTTACAAAATAACTGTTTTTTAAAAAATTATTAAACTTAATTGAAGGTAAAAAAAATTCCTCTGCGCTACCCACACAGGTAAATCCCTAATATCGTTAAAAAGAAAAAACAAAATTGGTTTATATCCTAAGGCTAAAAGTAATCGAAATGATTAGAGACATTGTAAGGCTCATTCCTTTCCTTCCTACTCATCATAAACCTCGGTGGCAAATAATAATTAGCGCTTCGATTATTACTCGTAGTCTTGTGATTAGTCTCTTCTTTAGGGACCCAAGGTGGCTTTATTGACCTGATAAGTGCCCAATTAACACCTTCGAAGAACTCATGTCTTTTGATCTCGGTAGAGCCTTTGAGACTCCCTAGCCTCTTCTTAGGATTCTTGACCAGTAGTTTAATAATAAGATCTTGAGCGCTTACCATATCATCGTACTCTTTCTGGTTATTAACTATAACCTTTGGGAATGTCAAAGGTGTTTTCAGAATGTTTACTAGCGTTCTCTCGTTGCTCTCGCCTTTAAACGGTGTGGTACCAAATATCATCTCGTACAGAAATATCCCGAAAGTCCACCAGTCAACGGCACTCCCATGTCCTTGGCCTGACAAATAAACAAATTTAACCAGTTAGTAAATCTACTGTTGTTAGACAAATCATTTTCAGTACAAGAAATCAATAAAGAAAAGGATATAAATAGGTTGCTATGGAACTTAATTTGTTGCTATTTGTGGAAATAACAATGGACAATATCCATCGCCTTTAGGCCATCTTTAACAATTAGCAATATATTGTATAGATATAATCTAGTATAGCCACAAAATAAAAAGGATAGAGTTGCTTGGCAGGGACAATATACAACTTAGTCATTAATGAGTCGTTTCTCTTTTAGCAACGGATAGCCGCCATAACTTACATAAGAATAATCCGAGTTATAGTCTGGTATCCCCTAGTTTATTTTTTTAAGTAACATAATTCTTTATTCTGTTGCATGCATGTAATGTAGAAGAAAGAAAAAACCAGGCGACACCATATTCTCGGTTTATTTTGTCAAAGTTACATTACATGTTTCTAGATATATATCTATGCATTCTCGAAGCTTTTAGTTTTAATTTTTCTTTCATTTTTACGGTACATTTAACGACTAATGATAAACTATTTGTAATTCTTTTTTTTAAAAAAAATGTATACTCTAAAACAATTTTAAGCCAGGACAAAACCAGATGAGCTATACCTGAAATTACCTCAGGTGCCAAGTACTCATGTGTTCCCACGAAAGACTTAGAGCGAGCGTTAATAGGTTCTGCGAAAACCAATGGACATTCACCAGAGAAGTCTCGAGATCCGGTTGAAACTCGAGAACAAGAAGAAGTTTGTCGTGAGAACATCGATATCGAAACATCGTTGCTTTTAACCGAACCGCCATAATTACCAGATGCGTTCTCGTGTATAGTAGTTGTAATAATGTTCTTGCATCTGCTTGTTCTGCTCGAAGCGGGAGAGAAGCAGGAGATTACTGGGTTTAACGGAGTCGTCGTACAGGAAGGCGTGGAGCATTTATGTCGGACGCTAACGTCGTCGTCGTCGTCGTGGTGATGGTCAAGGTCGTTGTGGTTAAGGAGCTGTGGGATGACGTTGCATTTGAAGGAAAGGTCAAAATCTGAGAGCATTACATGACCATCTTCCCTGATTAATACATTTTCCGGCTTTAGGTCTCTGTACACAATTCCCATCATGTGGAGGTACTCTAAGGCCACAAGTATTTCTGCTGCGTAAAACCTGATTTTATTAGCATTTGATGATTAGTTTTTAGATACCCGAAACTATATATTTAATATATTTTTCCTGACATCATTTTATTTGTAACTAAAAATTGGTATAACTATTTTGCCCAAAAAAAAAGGTTTCTTTATATCTTTGTAGCCGAAAATTGTAATCCAGTACCGTCGGGTAAATTAAGTGGATACGAAAAGAAAATGTAAATCTCTCAACCAACAAGGAGAAAAAAAACATTGATAATAGTGTACATAAAAATAAAATTTTTTGAAAATAATATAATTTCCATATATATTTTTGTGAAATACTTTTTTTACAAATACCGACAATAAACAGCTAATATGTAAGTTTTTTTATAAACATACACAAAAAAAAAAATGTGGTTACTCTTAATACAACACATTAATTACAAACGCAAACAATCAATTGGAATCTTCAGTTACTACGAACTATTTAAAGAATGAGAAGGGAACCTAGTAGAGGAGATAGTGAAACGTTTAGATGGCTGGCGGAGGCGGGCGGCGTAGAGATCACCACCGGGACAATACTCCATGACAAGAAAAGAGTAATGAGAAGCTTCAAAAGCTGCGTACAAAGTAGGGCAAAAAGGGTGATCAAGCATCTCTAAAATCTTCTTCTCCATCTCCGCTCTTCCAAACTTTTTCTTCACCGCCACGGCCTCCTTATCTACGACTTTCATTGCGTAAAGCGCCACCGCAGGGTACCCACGTATTTGGCAGAGGTAAACACTCCCAATGTCGCCACTGCCTAACCTCTTTAAAATCCGGAAATGTTCTAACCCCACCGCGCGGCCGCAGCACTGGCGGAGCCTGGCCATAGCTTCCCATGCGACTTGGTTGGCTTTGTGAGGCTTTATATGGTTGTACCTGTTGACGCCATGGTTACTTAAATGAGATATGGAGCTACTACAGCTTGTGCTGGCCGTGAATGAGCTGCTTAGCCAGCTCGTTCTGCGGCTTGACTCCAGTCCGGCTGTGGAGCTCTCATAATCGGACTCGTTGTCTTTGTAAAACTTAGTTGAGTTTGCCATTAGAGATATTTCATGGGTATGAAAACTGTCTTGTCTTTAAATATTTATCCATATTCTCCACATAAATCACTTTTCTTTTTTTTTTTTTTTTGTCGTTTTGTTCAATTTTAATTATTAATATATATAATTGAAAAGATAAACCATGCGTGAAGATAAACAATATGGATCCAAGTGCGGATACAAAGATAAAGGTGAATTAATGAGATGCACATGTCAGGCATGCTCCGCAAGCTGACACCACCACTATCCTTTGTTTTTCTCCAAAGTTAAAACGTTTGAACAATAAAATCTTAATGCCAGCTTTTACCTTTAGGTGTTAGAATATTAGAATATTCCGAAATTCCGAAGTTGGTCAAATTATAATGAATAACTTTAGAAAACTATAATTAAGTGAGTGACCACATATATTGATTTACGTCTGACTTATAGGACGTGTTTTTCTCTCTCCACCCCTTTTCTCTCCCAACCAATTCCAGCCGCCAAACCCTAATTTTCTCCATCTGTCTTCTCTCGGTGGTTGCCACCGACGGGAGGCCTTTGTTCTCTCCAGTTCGTTGTGCCTGAGGTATTGCATTGAGTGGTGCTTCGGTGGCTCTGTGCAGCGGGTGGAATCGAAGGAGGTGTGTAGTTTTTGACTCTTCCTTCGTTTTTTCGACGATTTTCAGTGATAGATCCATGGTGCTCGGTATAGTATCTCTCTAGATTTTCTCTCAAGGTGGTGCGGTTAGACGGATTCTTTTGGTGGTGCGTGCTGTGAGATCTAAGAGGACGGGTCTTGACGCACTGCTCAGATCTGTTTCTCCACTCCTCCCTCGAAGCTTGTGGCGAGCTCGGCGTGCTTTTTAGGTTAGCTCGTAGCTGCAGCGTTTCTTCAAAGCAGTGACTTTCCTTGTGGCTGTGCGCGTGCTTCTGGTGGCAGCGTGAGGCTCACTGTGCCAAACCGGTGTTCAGAGCTCGGTCTCGATGTGGTGTTGCTCAGTGTCAACAGGTTTTTGTCTCCGGTGGCTTCTTGTCTTGTCGTCATTTGTGGATGTTTGCTCGTTTCTCTCCGATGGACCAACATCGGGAGGATCTTGGTAGAGCTAGTAGCGTTTCTTAGCTTCGACAGCAAGTGTAGTCCTGTCCTAGTGCTGGATCTAGGTTTGTTAGTTGTGCGCCCGATTATTAAATGTTGAGGGCTGTCTTTGATCAGGCCTTCTTGGCTTCTTAGAGGAATAACTCTTTTTCAGACTGCCGGATGAAATAACTTCCGTTCTGCTTTGTGGATATTTCTTCGAAGACTCTCACCCGCGGGAAACACATGTTTTACCTGCCCTAGAAGACTCTCACCCCCGGTGGACCTTAGGACGAGCCACAAGGCCCAATATCAAAGCCCACTTCGCCATTTCTCTTCAGAAAAAACTCTAAATGAGACCAGGAAGACCTTAGGACATATAAATACATTATTTAGCAGCCTTAAACGGGTGTATGCTCCTGTAATGAGATTTTGAGCCACCAAACTCTGTTTTTCAAGGGTTAGGTGATGGAGATGGGGATTCTTCCCCAGATCCATTGTTCTTTCTCATTTTTATCTTATTAACTTTTCTGTTTTATTCTTTTGCATTATTCTATATCTTTCATCATTCATTGCATCATGTAGATTAGTCCCAGAGAGTCAAGTTGTTTGAAGATATCGACAAGCATATATATCGATTAGGATTTCTATTGTTCTTAGCCATATTATCGATCTCATCTCTTCTAAGTTGTTCATAAAGCATGAGAGTAGATTCATGACCTATTCTCTGAGCCTAGGATCGATAAAAGCCACGAGAGTGCTGTATCAGATCATCCATACCTAGCTTTAGAAGAACATAGTCGCTATATGAGTTGAGAGCTACCTATAGAGAAGATGTGAGCAGACGAATTCAATGTTTAATGCATGATCTTAAGTTTAGCATGAGAGCGAGAGTTAATTGCTAGATCTAAGAGATTAGTTGATTAAGGTGACGACAGTTGGTTAATCATACATGTGTCTATTCTAGTTCAATGCAGATTCCCAGAAACAGATGAAGATAAATCGTCCAGAAGCTAATTAAAAATGCCATCATACATTGATTAGAGTAACCCGGAGAAGTCTAAATCGCCACCTATGAGTTTAAGAGTCTTTAGTTTGATTCGATATGCTTTAGATGTTCTTTTAACAATTAATCGTGCATTGCATTTCTTGTGAATATTAGATTAGGTTTAGTTTAGGATCTTAGACAAAACCCCAAAACTTTTATTGGTTTATGAGTTTGCTTATTTCCCAGTTTGTTGTTTCTCGCAGATTAGACATCCTCCTTGTGGATCGACACCCTAAGTCCTACAACGTACATCTGTGCACTTGCAGCCACTAGGATTTTATAAATTTAAAACTTTTGGAGTACCAACGGGCATGTTAAAATACAACCCTAGGCCTGCAGTCCCATCAAGTTTTTGGCGCCGTTGCCGGGGAGGATTTTAGTCTCTAGAGGTCTAAACCTGGTAGGTTGAAGCCGCAGAAGACTATATATATGTCGAGTTTTTGCCGAAGCAACATAGGAAGTAAACTAAATTTATAAACACCCTAACTTTTTATTTTTCTGCTCATTCTTTCTTCTGTTTGCCCTAGTTTCAGAAACATTTGAAGCATGGATCATTCAAGAATAAACCCTAACCCCGAGCAAAGATCCAGGCGTGATTTTGATCATCATCTTCGGAACCCTAATCCGAACCACCACCATTTAGACTCACGACCTCCACACCACCAAGATGAGCCCTATTCGCCACACCTGGTAAACCGTCGACTATCTCATCCTCTTCCTCATCAGATTCTGCACCAGAACTATGAGAATAATTGACTTAACATCCTGATTAATCGATTGGAAGCCAAGCTGAATCAGTTTCTTGCCTCCCAAGCCCTCATCGATGCTGCCCTGCGAACGAAGATAGATGACGTGACCATCGGCCTCAACAAAAGGTTTGATGAATTCTCTGAGTATGTGATGACACTGCAGGATCAGAGAACCAAAGCTAATGACGTGTTAGATCAGAGAATATAGTCTGTCAGGGAAGAACCAGACAAAAACAAGTTAAGCATTCGGCAAAACGAAAAGGAGCTGCAAACCCTAACCTTCAAGATCGAGGACTTGGATAAGGAGCTGAATGAGAGCAAAAACCAGACCTACGACTACACATTGGAGTTGTGGCAAGGCGTAGCAAAGGTTGATAACAAGACAGAAGAGCTTGATGCTACTTTAGACAAAGTTGTCTATGCTTTAGATGAAGTATAAGAGAAAGTTGAAAAACTTTCTATAGATCATAAGGAGTATGATCTGAACTCTGGAATCAATGATTTGGATACCCAAGACGTGCCTGACAACCACTGGAAGCAAGAGAACAAAATGGAGAATAAGCGATTGAAGAAGCAAGCATGGAGAGCCGGAGGAAGCTGACAGCGGCTGCGAGCACTTCACTCACGGCCAAATCCACTTCCACCGCGGCTCCGAGCTCCTCACCCGCGGTGGAGCACGACTTCTCAGACTGGGAGAGCTTTCAACCTCTTTCTGAAGCCTGTTCATCAGAAAAACGACCTCATGTGACTAGACCTAGGTTGTTTGATCAAGCTGTCTTCTCAATCACTGCACAAGCATCAAAGGAAAAGGAGGAATCCAACACGTATGCATCTTGCAACATGGTTTACACTTGTGACAATGAGCTTCAAGAGCAATTCTCAGAAGATGAAGAGTATGGTTTGTTTGTAAAAGATCCAAACCCTGGGGATGATTCATGGGATGACAACACAGAACCAATAACTGATAACACCGGATTTTGACCATTTTTATGGATCCCTTTAATATCTTTTACAGGTGTTTTTACTCCATTTCCAAAGGTTTTCAAAGGATTTCTATGTTTTCGGATTTTAAAAGACTTTTCAGGTAATTTGGGATAAAGAGGCACAAATTAGAACAAAAAGACTCTTTTGGATAAATGCAGACCGTCAGAACTCTCATGGAGAGACGAAGACCTTCTCACCGTCTGATCACCCTCAAAATTGGACAACTTATAGAAGAATCAACCAGCTTTCAAATCCACTTGGTTTGGAGACATTCCAACGGTTGGATCTCAAGATATTCCATTAGCCCCGGAGCCACTCGAAGACGGCCAGCAAGTCACGCGACCGCGGCCAACAGCCCATTTCCCGCGGTCAGAAGCCTCCCGACCGCGACCAACAACCTAATCCCCGCGGTCACGTCACTCCCGACCGCGGCCATCAAGCTCCGAACTAAAGCCCATATTTCTGAAGCCCAAAGTCATTCTCAGCCTCAATTCTGGAACCCTAGAGACCGTGGAGTATTGAAGAATATAAATACTTGTCATTTAGGTAGTTTTTAGCAACAACCCTTCATATTTTACAGAAACCCTTTTTCCTTTAGCCATTTTTATGCGATTTTTGTAGAAGATTGTTTAAGTCCGAGTTCTTCAATAGAGAAGCTTTCTTCATCTCTTTTTTTTACTGTTTTTCATTACTTTTATTAAAACCAATGATGATGTCGACCTCAGCCATGTCTGAGTAGATCTCGAGTTGGGCTTAGGGTCCCGAAAGGGGCTCTCATAACCGATTAAGACATCTAGGTTCATAGATCTGGGATTTTGACATGTTCTCTGTTTATTCTTGTTCTTATTGCATGTATGCTTGATTGATCACCTAGTATCTGATCTAGATAGTTAGTGTTGCGAAAGCTTTCATTAAGTATCAGCCCTAGAATGAAACAGACGATTTTTCCGTAGGAGTGGAAACCTACCTGCGGCGTGATCGTGAGTATTGACGAGTCTTGTGCAGCTCTTGCGTTCTCTCCCTTCCAGGGCCAGAGTGGAAACCTACTGGTCAGGGTTGCGAGAAACAGTTGGTTATGATCACGACAGTGACGTAGTCATACCGCCATACTCTAGCTCTAGAACCCTATATATCGATATCCGTCAATCCCAATCTATCTACCCTAGTGTCAAAACCGATTATGATCCCTTA